AGGGCATCCATTGGTGCAATGCTAGGGAGCTGGAAAAACCTAAAGAGGAAGGAGGATTGGGCTTCAAGAACTTCCACCTCTTCAACCTTGCGCTTATTGGCAAACAGGTTTGGAGAATGTTTGACAATCCTGATGCCTTGTGGGCGAAGCTCCTGAAGGGGCTTTATTTTCCAAATGATGAGTTATTCTCGGCAACGAAGGGTCGAAAGAGCTCCTGGATCTGGAACGGCCTGTGTGAGGCAAAAGAACATATGAAGAGTGGGTTGGTTAAAGGGATTATGTCTGGGGAGGACTCTTGGTTCCACCGCGACCCTTGGCTTCCGTCCATTCCAGGTTTCAACCTCTCTCACTTGGGGTTGGAGCCTTCCAAAGTTAGTGATTGGATTGACCGTGACTCCCGTTGTTGGAAGTTCGATGCTATCCAGAACCTGGTGCCTGATGAGATTGCGCGTGCTATTGCCAGAGTTCCAGTCGGTCCCTTATCTGCTAAGGATAGCTGGGTCTGGTGTCCCTCTGAGACAGGTGGGTACAGTGTTAAGTCTGCCTACCGGTTGTTCCGTGAAAATCGAGATTCCACTCCGACAAACGATGTGACTGCCTCTCCTCGGCCTAATCGAGATGATTGGAAATGGTTATGGGATCTCAAGCTTCCTCCCAAGCTCCGGTTCTTCATCTGGAAGTGTTGTAAAAATGCAATTGCAACTCGTGGGAGGCTGTTTGCTCGCAAGTGTGCTCCCAATCCGCTGTGTCCTATCTGTGAGGGTCAGGAGGAAACGCTTATGCACTGCTTCTTCCAATGCTCTAAAGCGTGTGAGACTTGGTCTCGGCTTGGTCTGGTAAATGTGAGCCCGTCGGAGGAATCTTGCTTTGTGGATTGGTTCTTTGGGCTTAAAGACAGGGTCTCCGTTGCCCAAATTACAAAAATTGTGTGTTCCCTCTGGAATATTTGGATTGCCCGAAATGGGTGGGTGTTCGAGAATCGGGCGTTCTCTCCGCCCTCTGTGGCAATTTTAGCCGAACGTGATGGTTTGAATCTTCAAGAAGCTAGGATTGGATCCGTAGCTAATCCCTCCTCAAGTTCAGCTGGTTTGCCTGCTCAGCCTGGGAGTTCTCGTTCGACGACCTTTTCACCGCCTGGTCCTTTCTGTAAGGTTGTGCATTGTGATGGTTCCTTTGTTTCTGATGCACAGATGGCGGCATATGGGATTGCTATTGCAAACTCCCACGGTCAGGTTATCGACGGGAAGGCTGAGAGATTCTTTTGTTCTTCTCCGTTACAAGCGGAAGCGTTTGCGATTCTTAATGCAGTTATCTGGGCGGCACAAGATCCTGTCCCTACGTGTGTCCGTTCGGATTGTCAGCGCTTGACGTATGCACTGAGACAGGATCCGAGCCTCTGGCCCTGGCAATGTCGGGCTCCCCTTGCTCGGGTGGTTTCCATTCTCTGTGCCTCTCCTTGGATTTCCATCGAGTTTGTTCCTCGTCGCTTCAATAAGCTGGCTGATTGGATCGCTAGGAACGCTCGACTTGATCTCCTTCCTCCGGAATGGATTGTCATTGCCGACCTTGTATCTCCATTATTGTAATCGTTGTGCTCCCCTTGTTTGGGTTTGGAATGAAATGAATGATGTCTGTTGTCAAAAAAAAAAAAAGTCCCTCAAAATGGAAACTGAAATGTCCTTATAGATTTCGGTTACGTATATGAATGAACTGATAACTGAATGGTGTGGTGCCCCACTTAATTATACCGTTGATCATGTTATGCTTTCATTTTTTTCTTCTTCTTTTCTTATTGGTTTTACTGTTTAAACCAAAACCATCAAGTTACAAAACGGTTTGAAACTGAAAAACTGAAACTATTAAACTTCTTACCAGTTTGGTTTCAATTCAAACCAAAAAACCGACGCCCCTAATTATGGCCATGAATTTGCCACCAATCAAAGGTCATCCGTAATGTTTGGGCTCATTTGTACATGTCACATTTGCTTGCATATCTGAATTTTCCACAAGTGCATGCATCTTGGACTTGAACTGTGGGGTCAAATGCAATCGATGTTGTTAGATTCTTAGTTAGATATTTGTAAATGAGCATCATATCATATGCTTTTAAGACAATGGTTGATATTGAAGATCATGAGGATTGGAGTTGGACACGTAATTTGAAAGACAAATAAACTCTGATGTCATGCAGCGGCGGATCCAGAAATTTTACATAGAGGTGTCATCTTCCAAAAATTAAATTAAATTAAAAATTGATAATTAAATTAAATAGTTATTAAATATGAATATATCCGACTAGTAAAATTTACAATAAAAGCCCATATGTGTTTCATATTATGAAAAAAATGGTAAACTACATCCGGTGTCTACACTGCTGAACAAATCTCTCGACATATCCTGTTAGACAAGGGTAGCTCGTAATTGAGTTTAATCGTTATTCGTTAGGTTTTAAAACTAATTGGGGATAAGAATAGACTTTTTACTATTATATTTGGGTCTAAAACACAACACCAAATGAGTTGTAGTCTAACTTATAATAGTAGCAATATTATGTCCTAAGTTCAAATCATATAGACCACCACTTAAATATTATTTGTACCCATACGCAAACTACTACAAGAGGTTGGATAATCCTTTTTTCAAATTTTAAAAGTGTCCTACTACTACTTAAATATTTTTTTTTACCCATATACAAACTAATATCGGAGATTGTATAATCATTTTTCCAAAATGTTGAAAGAGGTGCCATGCATGAGACGTAACCAGTTTCTCGTCTACACTAGGGGTGGGCGTTCGGTCGGTTCGGTTTGAACCGAACCGAAATGGTATATCCCGATTTTCCGAACTACAAAACCCCTCAACCGAATTCGAACCGAGCTATAATTCGGTTCGGTTTGGCCGAACCGAATTATAGCTCGGTTCGGTTCGGTTTTATACCCAAAACCGAGAAAAAGTATGCTCTGTCCATTTTTTGGCTTTTGTTCTGTCTTTTGGTCGCTGGGCCAGATGAGAGGGGATTCTTTTATTCTTTATCCTCTCCCTCTCTCTCGGCTCACCCCACCAACACAACCTTCCCCAATATTCTTCTTCTTTACTTTTCTCTTTCACTCTCTCGCCCAGCAAATAAGCTTCCCATTTCAATCCAAATCCCATTGCCCCTCACATAGTATGATATCACCGCTCTATCTCCTCTCCCTCAAATCTGTTATTCTCATTTTATCCTGGTGGGTCAACGCCATCTATGGAGAAACGACTTCCCTCTCCGCATCTACCCCTCTCTCCGCCTGTCTCCCGCCACCGACACTATCTCCCTCGTCTCTACTTCTCGCTCTCTCTGAAGAATCCACAGAAGACGTTCGTCACCAATTCCTCTCTCCGCCTCTTCCCTCTCCGTTCTCTCCCTCGATTTTCGACCTTCCTCTCCGCCTCTACTAACAGTTCTTTGCTCTACGTCCAGGTCGAATCAGGTGTGGAATAGCTTTGCATGTCAGGGAGCTCTTCTCCTCTTCCGTCGTGGTGTCTGCATGAAGGAGAAGATGGCGGTGCGATGGCCGATCTGATGGCGGACGGCTAGAGCTAGGCGGTGGCGGCTGCTATTTTGAGAGGATTGGTGGCGAATGCTGTGATGTGAGGTTAGGGTTTGGAGAGGATGGGGTTGGCTATGGGCTAGAGAGTTTCAGTGGGCTGGGTTTCAGCGTGGGCTGGGTTTCAATGGGCTGGAGAGTGGTTGTGGGTGGGTTTTAGTAGGCTGTGGGCTATATTTCGGTTTTCGGTTCGGAATTCGGAATTCCGGTTTCGGTTGAGAGCCTCCTGGTTTCCGAAGTAACCAGTTTCCTCTTCCGAATTCCGAACCGAACAGCAATATTTCGGTTTCGGTTCGGTCAACCTCTGTTTCGGTTCGGGTCGGTTCGGGTTTACCGAACCGGATGCCCACCCCTAGTCTACACATCTCCAAGTCGTTACCCGTCGATCGATGGCGTATCAAGTCAAGTCTCCGGCTGATTGCTTGGTTGCCACTAATATCATTGTCTTCTACCTCGATCGATCTCTTTTTGCGTGTGTTTTGGGCCTCATCTAATAATCTCTGCCATGCCTCAAATTTCCCAGAGTGCATTTTCTTCCACAAGATAAGCCGTGCATTTTGGATTGATTGCATGCGGTTGCAAAGTACTACATGTATAGCTAGGTCTCTTCGACATACTGGCTCATGGCCCAATTCCAAACTCATCCCCATAGCGCATAAGCCTTGTTCCAACACTATCGACCCATTAGGCCCATCGAATGTAAATGTGCCACCACGGATCCTTTTATCAATTTAGTTTGAACTGAATAAGATGAGCCATAGGAGATAAATGAGACTATGCTTCGAGAGCTAGTCCGCGATTCTTTTCCTTTCTCGGTATACATGAACTAGATTCACGATTCAATCTTGAGCAATTTTTCGCTTGATAGCTGTTAAGAGGCCGCATAAGGGTGAAGAGGATCCGTCCTGTTGTTCACTAGCTAAATGGCCAACTAAGAGTCTGTTTCTACGATGAGTGTTCTACACCCGAGCTTTCACGCCAGTTTGAGTCCATGATAGATAGTCCATAGCTCTGACATGGTGGCTGAACATGACCCCAAACTCGAGATGAACCCTTCAATCCAACTGTTGTCCGCGTCTCGTAAAACCCAGCCTGCTCCTGCTATACCTTGGCTACCATTCGCCGCCCCATCAACATTGTTCCGACGACTTATAAGTTCTTCTGATCACACCTGCTTCTAAGTAATTGATTAACTTCTCATTCACTAACAATTGTTGGTGCAGACATGGAGTGCTAACTGCTAACATGAGCTACTCATATTACAAAGACTTATAATTTAGAAAACAAAACTGGGAATACATATAGAAAACGGTATACATCGAAAATTATCAATACCAAAAGAAATATCCATTACAAATCATACTACGTATACCACTGCTCATCAGTCATCCTTTTGGTCGTTTATGAAATCGCCAACTATACACGAGGTTCCCACACCTTGTACCTTGTTGGCACTGGAAGATGGTCCACCACAAAATAATAGCAAGTAGTTATGGTGACACCAACGCAATAAAACCATACGCGTCGCCAATATGGATTTATACGCAAAACACTCGCTATTACCAACAACACCATGACATAAGATATCGAGCCACTAACGTAGAAACTCTCCATGTCAATGAACCCTCCTTCATCACCATCATATGTTGTCGGCCTTACCAATGGATTCGGTGTCATGAGTGGTAATGTGCAGTCAAGAAGTGGATTTCCTCGGTAGATATCTTCATCAAATGTATTGAATTGTGCAATCTTTTGAAGACACTTACCAGATAAGTTGTTGTAAGCCACGCTAAAAGTGGATAGATAGTGCAACTCCGTGAGTTGGGAAGGAATCACCCCACTCAAATTATTGTGAGAAAGATCCAAACTCTCAATCTGTGATAGGTTTGCAATTGTCTCCGGGATAGATCCTATAAACATGTTGTATGAAAAATTAAGGACTTTGATGTCACCCAGATGGGCGATTTGAGGAGGGATCTCTCCGGTGAAATTGTTGCTCGAGAAATCCAAACCATTCATATGATAGAGAGGCTTCCCGTGGTAAGTATATGTTTTTGTCTTTGTGACAAACTCCAGATCATTATGAGGATCATCATATGCATTCCGTCCATTGCAGTTGGTGCCGTTTGATGTAAATATTTCATAGCCGATATGACCAGACAAATGATTGTGAGAAACATCAATCAGTTTTGAGGTTTCTAAGCAAAATGTACACGGAAGCTCTCCATGAAACTGGTTGTCATTCAATAAGATATAACTCAGTTGAGGCAATCTACCGATCCAATTTGGGATTGTACCCATCAAATGATTGTGACTCAGATCCAAGACACCTACTGAGTAGTCTGTATAATTATCAGCACCGGTTGTCCCACCTTGATTATCCGATAATGTGGCTGGCAGGGTTCCTTCTAGCCGATTTCTGGACAGATAAACTTCATTCGTCAATGGAGAAATGAAACCCGGTGGCAGATGTCCCGAAAATTTGTTCTTTGAAAGGTCTAGAATGTTGTCGACAGACATATTCCAAATCCATCTTGGAATTTCACCCGAGAGTTGATTATTACTAGCATCTAATAAACCGAAAGAGGAACAATTTGATAATTCCGGCGGTATTTCACCATAGAATTTGTTACCCGATAGGGATAGATAATCCATGTTGGGGAAGAACGCACATATACCAGGTGGGATGAGACTGGGAAAGAAGTTATTGGCGGAGACATCCAATTCAGTCAGGTTTTGGTGGGCTGTTGTTGCTGATGGATTGGGATTTGAAAATGCCCTGAAAGTGAACAGTTGGAGAGAAAAAGAATCTGCAATTCTGTATTGTTAGTCACCAGCCACCATGGGAACCCATTAGCAACTCCACTCATGTGTGAGTTTGACATATCAATCGACTCCAATTTGGTTTGATGGTAGAGAAATTTCGGGAAGGGCCCAACATATTTACCATAACCAGGCCGCGGAGACAATACCAGGTCTATCAGCTGGAACAGTGGTTTACCCTGATGCAGCAGTACCATACTAAGATTGTCGTCTCCGTAAATTTCTTGGTTATAACCTCCCATGAAGTATTGAAGGCGAGAGTGATTGAAAAACGGGAAGAGAGAGATTGGAATTCGGAATTGATTGTCCGAAATGTCGATTTTTTCGAGGGATAAGAGAGCTGGAAGGGGAGACATGGATACATCTCCGGTGAGCTGATTAAGCCACAAAGACAAGCTTTGGAGCGAAGTCAAGTTTGATAGACATGGTGGCAACTCACCGCTCAGATCAGTATTGTAAAGGAGTAGTACCCGCAGACGCTTTAAGGTGCAGAAAGCTGCATTCATCATTGCAGGCTGCAGCACAGAGTAAGAATTACAGATGCTACTTACAGAGAGTTTGCCACGAAAAAAGAAGACCATGATACCTGGAGGAATCGGGGAGCTAAGATCAGTATTTAAAATCTCCACTGGAGTAAGATTGTTCATGGCGGCGGCAACTGTTTCAAGGGAGTTGGTGCATGAAATGGACGAAGAATATATGACCAAACTTTCCAAATTCGGCCACCCTGCATCCATATGCAAACAAATTAAGTGTCTTGCAGCAAAATTGAGAGTAGGGTTGGTTAAGTAGACAGAAAGAAACTCTAATTAACCTTGATTCTGGATGCAGCCAATGATATGAACGCCTTGTAGTGTAAGCCGTCTCAATTCCTGGAAAGGCAGAAACAGAGAAGCATTGATATCCGGCTTCGCTGGATAATAAAAAAGGAGATCAGCTACTTTCCCTGTGGTGGGATTGCAACCAACTCCATCCCAGAGGCAACAGTCGGAACTGTTTGTTCCCTTCGCGCTCCTCCAACTGCTCAGAGACGGCGGATTATCGAGCGAGGCTTTGATTCGGAGGAGACTGATTCGTTCTTGTTCCCAACAGCCATAACAAATCTTCCATTCCAGAACTGTAAACAGTGCCAGAGCCCATATGAAGCCAGTGATGAACCAGCCATAACCCATCTTTGATCTCTCTGTTTGAAAACTCTAGAATGCCAGTACTGCAGGGGAAGTTAAGGTTTAGCTCTGTTTTCAAGCCGTGCTCTGTTTCAAGATCGTTTTGGTTTGGGGACTCTTTTATATACATACACAGAAGACGTCTGAAAGGATTTGGTGGCAGCGGCAGGCAATGAGTTGTTAATTTGTTATTCAGACACTTAAAGAGTCACAAGAGCCCTTTGGCCGGCCGGAGACTGTGATGGGAATTGGATGACCACCGTTGCTGGCTGGGTGTGTGGCGCAGATGAATGCAGTAGTACAAGTATACAGTACAGTACAATCTCCTATTTCCCCTTTCTGTTTTCTGCTTTTCCCACTCTATTGCTCCCATTTCTTCTTTTCGTTCAGATTAACCTTCAGCCATTCAACCCTCCTCCACATGGTGTGGAAAGGCCACAGCTTTTTTGGGCAGGGAGGGAGGAAGCCAAATGGTACCTAGCCAAATGGTAATGGTTAATGGTGGTAGTTAGCTAAAATGATCACTTCACTTCACTATAGCGATTATAATGGTTATCGTATTATTAGCAAAATACGGTGACTACTTTGGTATACTCACAAAAATGAGTGCGTTTAATGCACCCAACTCAAAAATTAGTCTTAAGGTGTCAGAATTTGAATTTGAATTTGTAGAATTAGTGTGATATGGTGATATAACATATGATAACAACTAATTAGCATATTACCTTAAGCCCTATACCTCCAATTTTGAGCCCCAAATTGTAAACTCTAACCCTAACCCTAAATCTCTAAACTCTAAATCCTTCAAATTAAAGTAAATCTTTAATAGTTTTTGTGCAAATTCATGTGCGTTATTATTCATCACATCATAAATGATGATTGACATCATTTTGACATAAATAACATATTTAAAATGACGATTATGAAGCGAGTGCACTGAATGCACACAAAAAAAAGTGAGTGCACTGAAGACACCACCATATATATACCATTGATTATTAAATTTAAAATGTTTGACTTAATGGCCTATGATATGGGTCGTTTGGAAGTTGTGATTTCAAATGGTGTATTGACTGAATTCATGTATTTGTGAGATTAAGTCGTTTTTTTTTTACGTATATAGAACTAGAATACATGTATTTACTTTTTGGAGGTCCCACCACAATCACTCAATATTGAGGGATTTACAATCTCTACTTTTTGTTGAGATTCTTCACAATCACTCAAAACTAACTTTTTACCTTTAGAACAACAACACAATCTAAACCTCCAAACAAGATATTTGCCTAATACATCAATTGATTCAATACATCAAATGATAATACACTAATTGTCTCACTACATCAATTTGAAGAATCACAACTTCCAAACAATTTCACTTCTATGCTTATGATGTCCCTCCTTCCTTTCCACCATCAAATTTAAGTTAAAAAGTAATTAATGAACGGTGATTATAGCTATTAGTATAATGCCAACAACTCGTCCCGAGACACAATTCGTACCTTTCAATACACGAATTTGTTCCCAGACAAACCAGAGGTCGTTTGGATGTGGAAATTTTAAAACGTGGAAATTTGTATGAATTTCCATGTTGTACAAAACCAAGGAATTGACTTGCGGAAATTGAAAAAAAAAATCACGTTTGGATAGGGTTTAGTTTTGTTGGAATTGATGGTGTGGAATTTGGAAAAAGAAGTAAGAAAACGTGGTAATGTCAAATTACTAGGGGGAGGTGTAGTATTCTCAATTACCATGAATGTGGTAATTGAAGCCAATTTCCATGATCCAATTTTCATACCATTTTTGCTCTCCCAAACATAGGTTTTTAACCCAATTGTGGTAATTGGATCCAATTACTGCATTACATTTCCATATCCAAACGACGGAATGCGTTAGGGTGGATACTAGTTTTTTAGTAACCATTGTGGCTACTTATATCTAAACCCTTCATTAGCTCTATTTTTTCCTTTTTTTAAAATGACGGTCAAGATTAAATTAAGGATAGTTTGGGAATCAAAATATTATCACACCAGATTATTACCTATATTTATAAACCCCCCCCCCCCCCCCCCCCGCCGCCGTCCGCCTCCCTCTGCCCACCTCACCTCCCACCCTACCTCCCCCCACCTCCGCCCACCTCCACCCGCCCTCCCCTCTCTTCCACTCTCTCCCCCCACCATCCGCCCACCTCCTCTGATCCCTCCCTCACTCCTTCTCCAATTTTGGTTGTTCTTGTGCATTTCCGCCGGAAAAACAAGCCAAGTCCGGCGCCGCCCCGTCAACCAGTGGCTAGCGGAGGAACTACAGCAAGTAATCTTGTCCAGGCTGCCGACCCCTGCCTCCATCGGAATGGTATGTTTTTTTTTTAAATGGTAGTCATTTTTTTTCAGTAGTGATTTTTTTTAAATGGTAGTCATTTTTTTCGTAGTGGTAGTGTTATTGTCGTATTGGTATAGTTTTTGTCGCATTGGTATTATTTTTGTCGCATTGGTATTGATTTTATCGCATTGGTATTGATTTTGTTACATTGGTATTGATTTTGTCGCATTGGTAGTGATTAAATCTGCAATGGTATTGATGTTTTGTGAAATGGTAGTGTTTTTATTTCTTGAATGGTATTGATGTTTTGTGAAATGGTAGTGTTTTTATTTCTTGAATGGTAGTTTTCGTGTAATGGTATAAATTTATTTCTGCAATGGTAGTTTTCGTATAATGGTATAGATTTATTCTGCAATGGTATTGATATTTTTCAAAGTGGTAGTGTTTGTCTAATGGATTGGTACTGATTTCTTTTTTTTTTTTTTTTTGCAGAAAGATTGAGAAAAATATGGAAAGGAAATCTGGCTGGAGATTACGGAAGTGAGAGAAAGAGAGATTTTTAATGAATAGAATTTTGTAACTACCTTAAATGTAATTTATTAAAAAATTAATTAATATAATTTATTTTTCCATACCCAATTTACCCTTAGTAACCACGGTGATTACTACTTTGTAGTAATCACCGTAACCTGTCCCTCCAAACGACCCCAAGTATCTTGAGATTGGTCAAAGCACTATAGCCTTTCATGAATAAGATGAAAGGTTAGTTTATTTCAATCCGAAGGTAAAAAAATCGAAGAAATAGTCATCAAAAAATTTGTTGGTAAGGCAATATAACTATATATGATCATATCAGAATGTGTACCGTTATCATTCATGTCGACTGTTTCTTTCAGTTGATTATCGTAAACATAAATGAGCCAAAGACGACGTTACGTTGTTAGCGAATCCATTCTCACTGATATCCAAAACTTCCAAATTCGTCAGAGCCGATAGTTTCTCAAACCCTACATCAACTGAAGTCAAATTAATATAACAAAAAGAACCTGTTTTATATCGTATACAGTAATGAGAAGGAAGAATCGAAATCGTAATTAATTAATCAACCTTGGTTCTCCGTGCAACCAAGCAACTGGTTGCCTGTCAATGAAAGCCAAATCAGTTCAGGGAACGGCAGAAACAGAGAAGCATTCACCATCCTCTGTTTTGCAGGCATAAGGAAGATCATAGTGATGGAGATAATCAAGCGAGAGCCGAGTGACTCCCCCATTGATGGAGCCATCACAAGAGACTCCATGCCGAGTGGCTCGATTTGTTCGATATTGAGCTCGTCAGTAAACGTGTCGAGGTCAAACTATGTCTTGTTCATTAGCTTGCAAGGGTTATGAACAAGGTCAAACTCGATAGCTTATTGAGCTCAACTGCAAGGGTGGGATCACATGTGTTATAAACGCGCTGCTACGGATCGGGAAATCACCGGGATCGACAAAGCAAGAATACGAGAGCGAGAATCGAAAAACACGACACACGATTTACGTGGTTCACTAACACGATGTGTGTTAGCTACGTCCACGGGCGAGAGAGAGCCAGTTTCACTATATCGAGGAGATTACAGATTACAGAGGAGTATGAGAAGTATTTATAGTACTTCTCCATGTGGGTCTAAACCTAATCCAATCTAGCAAAGGAAACGGTTACCCCCGATTACCAGTCGTAGCGGCTGATAATCCGATTCAAGTCATATCAACAAACCCACATGAAGAAGTACTATAAATACTTCTCATACTCCTCTGTAATCTGTAATCTCCTCGATATAGTGAAACTGGCTCTCTCTCGCCCGTGGACGTAGCTAACACACATCGTGTTAGTGAACCACGTAAATCGTGTGTCGTGTTTTTCGATTCTCGCTCTCGTATTCTTGCTTTGTCGATCCCGGTGATTTCCCGATCCGTAGCAGCGCGTTTATAACAAGTGGTATACCACTCATCCATTTGTTATTAATTAGTTGGCCTTGACGTTTCCATGGTATTCTCCATCTTTTCTTATCTCCTTTGCTAATGAAATTTCATCAACATAAGAAGAAAAAAAAGGACATGCTAAGGCATAACAAAAATGGGTTTGGTTTTGATTAACAATCCGAATCATGTACGAGTAGTGATATGAATAAATCTCGAACTAACTATAGTCTATGAACCAACCAGTTGTCATCCCTAATAATTATACTCAGTTATTAACTAATTTGTGCAAGTACATTACTCATTTTATAATGGGTGAAATTAATCTCCTCAGTTATTAACCAACCAGTTGCCATTATTGGAGGCTTGATTTCTGATGGGTTGGGGGAGGAATTAATCTCCTCGTTTTCCTTTTAGAATGGGTGAAATTTTCAATCCTCTGTTTTCCGTTTCCTGAGCGTAGTCGGAAACAGGGGAAATCCGGCCGACTCTGCCACGTACAGTGCTTTTATAGATTCCCGGTGGACTTTCCCTTTTGCGGCTTACTTCCATCCTTCGCGTTGACTTCGACGCCACGTGCCCCATGGTCATTGGACATTGAGGGTTTCCATGCCACCTTGTACATGGTTGGGGCTTGAAGATGGTCCATCACAACATAGTAAGAAGTAGTTGTGGTGATGCTAACAAAGTAAAGCCATGCCAATATATACGAATTTATGTAGAGAACACTTGTGATTATCAATAGCGCTATAATGATTAGGGGTGTTCAAATGATTACCATGGTAATAATCAAACTAATTTAGTCTTAATTTCATTAATCATGGAATAAAATGGCCTTTGCTCTACCCTAACGATGTGGTGGCAGATCATCATCTCAAGGACATGAATCCAGAATCAGAAGAACGTGGATTAATTCCCTAAATACACATTAAACTAAACCAAATTCCTAAACTACCACACTTATAAAAAAAATTCCCAAAATACCTAAGTTTGGAGTGGTTCGAGTTTGAGGAACTCGAACTACTAACCGGTTCGAGTGTAGAAGACTCGATCTACACGTAAATCGATGATATAAGCCTCGAACCATGTGGGGCTGAAGTGGTTCGAGTTCAGTGAACTCGAACCACTACTTTGAAATTTCCAATCACCATAACTTTGTCCTCGGTTATCCGATCGTAGCAAACTTTTTTTTCATTTCGCATAACTTTTCGAGGACTACAACTTTTATAATAGAAATATTTTCAGAATATATGTGAAAATGTGAAAATTAAAGTTAAAGTTACTCACAAAACCCCTTATATTAAAAACTATTCCTATTTTGAAAATTTATTCCTAGTAAATGTTGTAGTACTCAAAAAATTATGCAAAATAAAAAAAAAAAACTTTGCGACGTTTGGATTGCGGAGCACAAAGTTATGATCCTCCAAAGTTTGACAAATTTGAAAACTTGCTCGTTTAATTTATGGGTAGCAAATGACGTTTTCTAAGATAGCCATCCAAAAATGTCTTGTTTGTAAAAATATTGCTCTTTTGGCAGAAATTTCCTATATATAAAAAAATTTCCCGTGCCTTCGCCCCGAGAAAATGTCATTTGTTACCCCTAAACGAGCAATTTTTCGATTTTGCCAAACTTTAGAGGATCATAACTTTGTGCTCCGTAATCCAAACGTTGCAATGTTTTTTTTTATTTTGCATAATTTTTTTAGTACTACAACATTTACTAGGAATAAATTTTCAAAATAGGAATAGTTTCTAATATAAGGGGTTTTGCGAGTAACTTTAACTTTAATTTTCACATTTTCACATATATTCTGAAAATATTTCTATTATAAAAGTTGTAGTCCTCGAAAAGTTATGCGAAATGAAAAAAAAGTTTGCTACGATCGGATAACCGAGGACAAAGTTATGGTGATTGGAAATTTCAAAGTAGTGGTTCGAGTTCACTGAACTCGAACCACTTCAGCCCCACATGGTTCGAGGCTTATATCATCGATTTACGTGTAGATCGAGTCTTCTACACTCGAACCGGTTAGTAGTTCGAGTTCCTCAAACTCGAACCACTCCAAACTTAGGTATTTTGGGAATTTTTTTTATAAGTGTGGTAGTTTAGGAATTTGGTTTAGTTTAATGTGTATTTAGGGAATTAATCCGAAGAACGTTAATCAATAATGGAGGTTGAACTAAACGAGTTTCTGTCCCTCTATATTTACCTATATATCAAACGACTAATCTAAGCTACAATCCTAATTGAATAATTCCAATTCTCGCTAAAAAGCGAAAGAAAGAAACCCACGACGAGCGATCATTACGTAACCGCTATACGCTGCCGCCGTGCATCCTGAAAAGCCTCGACGGCGTGGGCCGGAAATTCTTCCGCCGCTTCTCATCTCGACTCGGCGGCTTGATGATCCGCTGCAGGAAGGCACTCAGCGTGTGCTCCTTCTTCGCCTTTCTTGCCCGCCTCCTTCGCCTGCGTTTTGACCGGTCCTTGCAGCGCCTGCAGTGGAACAGGCCGCCTGGGTCCTTCGCCGGCGAGCAGAGGAGGCACTTAGTAGTACTACTCCGAGTCTTGGAGGAATTCGCTGAAGAAGAAGAAGAAGAAGAAGAAGAAGAAGAAGAAGAAGAAGAAGAAGAAGAAGAAGAACTATCAGCTGCCATTGTCGAGACTCGATCTGTGATGGGTTGGGAGGAATTAATCTTCTCATTTCTTTTTATAATGGGAGAAATTTTTTTGATCCTCTGTTTCCGTTTCCTTAGCGTAATCGGAAACAGGGGAAAGCCGGCCGACTCTGCCACGGTGGGTTTTATAGATTTCCGGTGGACTTTCCTTTTGCCCCTTACTCCATTCCTCGCGTTGACCGCAACGCCACGTGCCCCATGGTCATTGGTCCGTCACCTAGTACATGGTTGGCGATTGAAGATAGTCCAATCATACAACATAGTAACAAGTAGTTATGGTGATGCTAACAAAGTAAAATTAAACCATACCAATACGATTTTATGTAGAGGACACTTGTGATTATCAATAACGCTGTTACGATTTTTTCTGCGGATCGGGAAATATGCAAGAAACGAAAACGCAAATACACACAACACACGGATTTACGTGGTTCACTAAAACGATGTGTGTTAGTTAGTCCATGGGCAGGGGAGAGCCAGTTTTCACTATACTTAAGCAGATAGAATTACAAAGAAGTATGAGAAGTATTTATACTACTTCTCCAAGGTCTAACCCTAATCCAATATGGTAAAGGAAAAAAGTTACAACCAGGCCCAGAACACAAACCCAAATAACATTGAGCCCATACACCGCGGGCCACCCCCGTGACTTCCAGTCGTAGCGGCTGATAGTCCGATTCAAGTCACATCAACAAACGTTATAAATGACGCTCCATTACTTTCACAGAACCTCTCTGTATCAATGTAGTTTCACTTCCTCTTTATCATCACCTACATCAATAGTTGTCGGCCTTACTAACTATTTTGGTGTTGATAGTGCGAAGTATAATTGGCGATAAGAGGATTCATTCTATATATATATATATGGTGGCGTCTTCGGTGTACTCACTTTTTTGGGTGCACTCAGTGCACCCGCCTCATAATTGTCATTCTGAGCATGTGATTCATGTCAAAACGGTATCAATTGTTGCTTATGATATTATGAACAAGAAGCACATGAATTTGAAAAAAAATCATTCAAAATTTACTTTAATTTGAAGGATTTAGGATTTAGGGATTTAGGGTTAAGGATTAGGTTTAAAATTTTGGATTTTGGATTGGGATTCAAAATTGAAGGTTAAGGGGGTTAGGGTAATAAATTGATTTGTTATGATTCTATGTCATATCATCATATTAGATTGAGAGTACTAATTAAAGTTCAAAATTTGATGTAATATGGACACTTTTAGAGTGGGTGCATTGAGTGCACCCAAAAAAGTGAGTGCGCCGAAGTAGCCACCATATATATATATATATATCCTCATTGAGAGTAATTAACAAACTGTGTAGTATTTTAAGGGCATCCAGTGGCGGATACATGCATGGTTAGGGGTGTCCTGGGACACCCCTAAAATTTGGAAACACGATTATTCAACCTATGATAGTAATTTGCGTATGAGAAAAAAAAAATGTTTAAGCGGTAGTGGGACACCTTTAATATTTGGAAAAATGATTATCCAATCTCCCGTAGTAGTTTGCGTATTGGTACAAATAATATTTAAGTAGTAGTTTATGTGATTTAAATTTGGGACACTGCCACTATTAGTTAATATATTTTCGATTATGCTACAACTCATGTTTTATTGTGTTTTAGATCCAAATATAATAGTAAAATGTTATTCTTATCTCAAATTATTTTCGAAACCTAACGATTAAACTCAATGACGGGATATCCTTGTATAGTAGGATATGTCGAGAGATATTTGTTCAGCAATAAAAACACCAAATGCATTTTATCATTTGACGAAACACGTCGGAACTTTAATGAAACTTTAGGTATTTTCAAATTTAATAATTATTTAATTTAATTCTAATATTTAATTTAATTTTTTATAGAGGACACCCCTACTTAGAATTTCTGGATCCGCCACTGAGGGCATCTGCCATATTAATTGGTGTACACCACGCTGGGAGATGTCAACTTGTTCATCCTAGTGAGTTGAGGAGAAATCATCTCAGCTGAAGTGATTGCGAGTAAGATTCAAACTTTCAATCGTTATTAAGTCCAAAAACGAAGGTGGAATTGGCTTTGTCAACATATTGCATGACAAATTGAGAATTTTGATATCAACTAAATGACCGATTTGAGGAGGGATTTCGCGGGTAAAAATCATTGTTTGAGAATTCAAACCGGAGCTCAACACTAGAGGCTTACACCATGCATTTTGGATTTGCATGCATGCCCGTGGCAATACATTGTCTAGCTCTCTTCATCAGACCGCTCATGGCCCAATTCCAAAACCAGCCCCATAATCCGTAGGCCTTAGCCCAACACCAATCGACCCATTAGGCCCATTCAGTGTAAATTTGCCCACATCACATGGAGCCTCTGGTTTCACCACTCATCATAACTCATAAGCGCGCACTTCGTCTTCACCGTACATTTCCAACGATCTAATCATGAATCTCTTCTATTCTGATATTCTCTACTCAAGAAATCGTATGAGCCTGCCATACCATTTTACACTCCAATTAAGGCCTCCATAGAACTAACTGTACATTATCAATCACAATTCAGAACATAGAGAATCGATGCATCTTCCAAACTATTACAACGAAGCAAAGAGTCTTTAGGGCTGCCTTTTGAATGCTTTAGTGACACCAAGAAAAGGCATTGTACAAGGCTTTTTTTTCCTCTGCCTTTTGATTTGGCGACTGATCTTCCGCAAAGAGCTTTAATCAATGGAATTAAACTAAACCCACAAAGAAAGTAGGTTGAATTACGACATGGAACAAATTCCTGAAAAGGGAAAGAAAGAAAAAAACCTTGATTTCCCATTTCCCCGCCTATCCCCTGTTTCTCAGAATCCAATCAAAAAACAGATCCGTCTGAGAAATTTCTGCCCCCCTATTTACATTCCAAACAACTAATCACTTAGAACAAACAAAATAAAAATCGGGGGAAAAAACCCAGAAAAAGGAATCGACGACGACGGGTCTTACGAAACCGCCACGCCGCTGCCGCCGTTCATCGTGCAAAACCTGGACGGCCTGGGCTGGAAATTCCTCCGCCGCTTCTGGTCCTGATTCGACGGCTTGATGATCTGCAGCAGAAACGCCCTCAACGTGAGCGCCTTCGCCATCGCCGCCGCCGCAGCCAGTTCCCTCCGGGACGGACGGCTGCCCGTCGCCGACGACCTGTTTTTGTGGAGGCTGCAGCGGAACGACCCCGGGTGGTTCGTCGGCGAGCAGAGACACGTCCGGGTCTTGACGGAATTCGCTGGAGAAGAAGAAGAAGAACTGCCAGTCGCCATTGTTTGGATTTGATTCGTGATGGGTCGGGGAAGAATCTCTCTGTTCCTTTCTATAATGGGGAGAAATCTTGATCCTTTCTCTCTGTTTTTTAGCGTAATCGGAAACAGAGGCAAGCCGACCTACCGACTCTGAGCGGTGGTTTTATAGATTGGCGGTAGACTTTTTTGCCCCTGGAGAGGAAGGAGGAAAGGGAGATGGTTTGGAGGGTAGTATGGGAAATTGAAGGTTTGCGGTTGTTTTTGTATTGGTGTGGTTTTACTATTGTGTCCTCGGTGTTGCCAGATAATTAAGGTGGGGCGGGGTGGGTTAGATGGTCATTGCGGAAGTGAGGTGGCGGAAAGGATGAGATTAGTTAGCGGTTACGCGCGCGACAGAAAAGAATGGCCGAAGACTAGGAGGGTAGAAATTGGGGAGTTTAATTGGGAATTAAGTAATTAACTCAATTTGGTCGAACCGGTTGGTTGTAAGGTTATGGATCATGGATGAAATTTGGATTTGGATTTGGATTTTGTTTGTGGTTTTTCCTGGAGACCGTCACTAACATTCCATAGAAGATGAGATTTTGAATCTTGTTTGGGTTTACCGGTTCGATCTTCGATCCAAGCATGAGATTTTCGAGTTGTTGTTCGCTAAATTGCATAAAACAATGGCTCTAATTTCCGGTTGCCCACTCCACAACACTTGCCCAATATTTTAGGGAGAAAATCCCTCAATTGACTTGGTAAAATCTTTAATGGATAGAGTTATCGAGTTATACGAAACTTTAACGGATAGAGTTATCGAGTTTCTTAATATAGTATGTGTGATCATTAATGTTTTTCAGTCAGTTTTGAGTAGCAAGGGACAATGTCGTATTCGTATATAACAATGATCAAATAATGTTACTTTCTTTAAACTCGAATACTCATGGGAGCGTTAGTGTCACCTAATTAATCTGTTTCAACTTTTGCATAAATCTATTGCTCTATGTATGGTTTTAAGTATTGTTTTTTTTCAAACTTATCTATGTTTCAAATAGCAAGTAAATTAGAGTCGGTCACACATCTTGTACACAAACTTGTCGAACAATACACAACGTGGGATTTCATTAACATTTTGATTAATTTTGATTTTTGAGCAGGTAACGTCTTTCCTATTTGTATAAATCAAATAAAATTCTCTCGATCTATATCGATATCAAGTATAGTTTGTTTGTACTCGAAATACTAACTAAACTACTAGAATATTTAGTGCCACCTAATTCATATGTTTCACTTTTTTTAATCACTCTATATGTGGTTTAAATAGCAAGAAAGAGTGATTACACAACTTCTTATGCCATAATAATAAACACGTAAATTATTGAAGGTCAACTTCTTATGCACAGACTCCTCGATTAATAGGCGCATATATATCAAATAAAAAAACATCATCATCTCACATTCATGCATATTCTTCTACTCATGATATAAGGAAATCTTTGATCAATATCTCGAGAAATCCAGTTCCATTATTTTTCTCCAAAGAGTTACAACCTGGAGTCCTGGATTCTTTCTTATGGCTGGATCAGTTTATGCACATGCAGGAACAGAAAACCGACATCAATGATTGTTTGGTTTTTTTTTTTTTTTAATTCCAACTTTTGAGGGTATGGTGGTGAGTGAGTGGGTTTGGTAGGCAAAATTATGAACCGAAAAACGAGTCAACCCACCGCCCGCCAGGAATCCAGGCTCTATTATACAAAGGTCGGTTGATGATCATGTGGGCCAACCTAAAATCGGAATATTCCTCTTCCTCTGCCCTGCCTTTATTCACAACCTCCCATTTGGCACTCTCCAATTCGACCTCTGAATTCCAATTATCACGTATTTGATTCCATGGGAACAACGAAAGGAGAAACCCACGATCCAAACTGCGACATGGACACGAGGTCTGTAGAACCAGAGTTATTGGAAGGAACTGAAAGGGACAAATTGCCTTACCTCTCTGCACAACAACGTTACTGGGTTCATGCTAAGAGTTGAGCTGATGGGTTTGGCTATAGCAGTTTAGCTCGATTAGGTGGGCTGATCGGATAAACTGGGGTTTCAACTCATCTAGCATGTTGATTGAATAAACTCAGAGCTTCATTTAGGTAGTTGTCATCTTGACCAGGTAGCTTATTAGTACGACATTGTGCGTTTTAGACCAATCACACACAGTTTACTTTTGGGTATACTTCCGAAAAAATATCGTACTAATTGGGTTGGGTGGACACTAATATACAAGAGTGTCTTCCCTTGTATTTCCGTCTTTCCGATGCGGAACTTGGATCGTACCATAACAATCCCCCCCCTCAAAACAAGGACCACGAACTCCGCGGTCCTCTCCCTAGCGATTTTATATGCTAGACGGATGCAGTTCTCCTTTGATATCCCAGACAAATTTGGATCTCTACTAGATCCATCAAACAGACGTCGAGCTCAAATCTCGAGGTCGATGAATAAGGATACACCGAGCTGACATCCGTTGCCCCGAATCAGATTCCGATACCACTTGGCGTAACCGAATAAATACGATATTTTGACCATTTTGGACCAAGTCCACTCGAATTTACTCTTGGATTCCTTCCCCAAGAGACCTGGCGCAAATTGGACTAGATAAACGCTATTTAATTCCTCGGTAGTTCGGAATGGCACACAACATATTTGACCCTGACAAATGGAGCAAAAATTGGTCCCTTCACCCTTGGACGTGACAGTTACTCTATCTACGTGTGTGACGAGAATTAGTTCCTACGTGGGACACTTGTGATTTCATGACCTCGTTTGTGCTGGTGGTGGTGGTGATGGATCGGATCCGGGCGGGTCGGAGTTGAGGTGGTGGGTCATCGTCTACGTGTTCTAACTGTACGGTAAGTTTCTTTCTTTAATGGTGTTTAGTTACGCCGTGATGTGGATGGACAATGGACCAGGCAGCCAGACATGGGTGCCGGCTTAGATTCACTGACGTGTGTCGGGGAGAAAACTGTTTCGGTTCCTGCAGCGAAAACAATGCCTCCAATCTCCATCATTGTTCTTGTTATAATTTGGAGAAGGGGGAATGAATTCTTCGTGGAATCAATCGAGCTTAATTCCATGGAGACATGTCCGTCCGTCCATCAATTGTTTATTCGGTTCTTGCTCCGACACTTAACACAATTAGTGCTGCTTAAACTAATTCGCAAACTCGCCGGCCCGGAAGTCGGGATCAATTCCCACTCCGTTGTCGTCGTCTGCCATCGCCGGGAAAGAGAAAGAAGAAAAAAACAGAGTAGCTCTGTCTCTGTTTTTCCCGGTCACTTTCCCCCCTGTTTGTTTCACCGCCGGTCGAGTAAATGTCAGAGTCAATATATCATCATGAAAAAGTCTATATACAGTTTCTCGTCAATTGATCAGGCATAAATTCCCTGATTACATGCTCTTTCCCTTCTTACTACAAGAATTGAGAAATAGGAAGAAAAATCCTTCGCCGACCTATGATGAATAGTGGGTAATTAAATGAACTAGTCGTTGAAGCTAATTCCTCTGTTTCCGCCATTGCTGGGCTTTCTCACTTGGAAACAGAGGCTCCCCTGTTACCCGCCTCCATCGTCGGCCACAGTTGCTGGGTTTCCTCAAAAGAGAAAAACAGAGCAACCTGCTTATATACAGAGACAGGTAACGAAGAATCAGTGGCCTATTCCTTTCTCTCCTTATCATCATCCCCCTAATCTGCATTACTACATAATGTAGCAGCAGTGCAGCACCTCTAGAACTCAACGCATTCGACCTCAGACGCTAATATGTAGTAAGTGGCATCCTCCTCCAGTAAACTATGTGAAATGCAATTGTGATGCAGCCTTGTTTCCGCTTAGATGCGTTCTCTAAGCTCGTTATTTATGATTTTCTTTCTTCCTTTGTGGCGCTTAGAAAGAATTCTTTCAATAAGCGCTATATATAGAAGAGTAAGCCTATACGCGTTAGGCGAGAGGCTGGGGGGCGGAAAAAGCTTAAAATCTTTTATATCGATCGAAGATGGCATACCTCTCTTTCCATGCTTGCATTCCAGAGAGAACGAACTAGCTCTGTGCCTCTATATCCGAGCGATTCAAATGCGAACAAGCCAATTCAATGGCCATTCTCAGCATTATTACTCGAACCTCCAATCTACATAGCAAGACACACTCTAACCTCATCCCTTAAATATTTGGTACACATATGAAGCAAACCCGTCTCATCCAATCTACATATATATCTCACCCCTAAAACAACTACCAAGATTTACAAAACCTATATCAATCAATCAAAACACTCTCATTCCCCACCTCCAAAACACCACTCATATATGCCCCGGACCCTTGTTGTGATCTCCTCCACCGCCAGTCATGAACTGCTTGGTGTAGACACGGTGCCGGCGCTCTCTGGCGTATATCACCCAGAAGATCAGCGACAGCATCACCGCGGCAGAGACGATCACCAGCCCGACGTAGATCCACTGCGTGTACCGTCGGAGATCGGGGCAGTAGGAAGCGTTGATGTCCGTGAATGTTCTCCTCACGAACGTGCAGTCTTCTAGCTCCACGAGGAACGGTCCATAGCGGTAGAGCCCGTAGCTCACGTTCACGGCGGATGACATTTGTGAGTACAGCGACGGAGTCAGCCGGCCGGGCGTCGTGCATATGCCAGAGCTTGAAACTTGGCACACGTAGGCTTTCCATGCCTGCATTGGAAAGACACGGACTTTGTCAAGTTTCTGAAACTTCAATGGCCAAATCGTCACAAGCAATGTAGTCTAAATCGCAATTTAAAGCTTAAAAGCTTTTGGTAATCAGGTTGTGACAATGTAGTCGAAGTCGCACTTTAAAGCTTTAAAGCTTTTGGTAATCAGGCGAATTACCCATTCCACTTGGTCTTGTGACCAATGCAGTCAAAATTGCTTACCTCAGTAGCATTGTGGAAGACGACTTCCCCGGGAGCGCAGTCCTTGACGGTGAGATCGGAGTTGAAGGGGTTGCAGAGAAGAGGAACCAACGGACCAGATTGGTTGTAGTTGAGAGGAGGTCCGAGTTGTGGGGGGAAGTTGCGGTTGGAGAAATTGGCGAGGACGGTGTCAACCAAGTTGATGAGCTGGAAAGAGACCTGCTTCGATTGCACCAACGTTTCTTGTGCAGTTGCATTGTCCACACATGGGATGAAATCGTCCATGGCCGTCTTGGCAGTAGGATGCTGGACCCAGTCGTCCATTGCCACACATGTATCTGCCACCACACTGGATGGCGATGGCGATGACACAAAATACCAAACCAAGGTCAGCGGAGATCATTTAGCAGCAGGGAAAATGACAAATGGAGGGAAAAGTTAACTGATTTGCATATGAATCTGTGATGCAGGACAAGGGTATTATACTCTACAGGCTCCAAACAGCCATAGGAGTATTGGAAAAGAGATTTTAACCATGATGAACAGTGTCAAGATGAACAGAAATTGGTAAGGTGAAAAGGGTGATGAGGGGGTGAATGATTAACGGATGGGAGAACGAAAGGAACTTACTTGTGGAGAAGAAGGAAGACGCCACACAAGATAAATGTACCAGCAACGAGGATCCATCCTAGAATCACCAGGCTGCATTCAACGACAAAGTGCACAACATTCAGCACCGTCATTTCTGGTTTCTGAATAGTCAGGACATATAACTTGATTATCGTTATCACTTACAAGTATACAAGGCAAGTCATCCCAAGAATGGAGAATACTGCACAACATAGTCATCACAATGTCAAAAGGAAACCAGGAGACCTAGAAACCAACATCTGCAACGTTTCAAACAACAGAAGAGAACTTACAAAAGCCAAGGAATGCCAAACCAAGCATAACAGCTGCTAAGATCACAAGAGCCAATCTCCTGCAAACAGGAAATGGTCATCAAGAAATGATCAAACAAACGAGCTCGGATACTCAATTCGAGTTTGAAAGAGCTCCTTACACGCCATTCAACCCATCCTTAATCTTCCTCCTGTTATCCTGAGTACGGCTGGACAATGTGTTCCCAGACGAATTGGCCTTCGCCACAAGGTTATCGAGTTTGCTCCGCATGTCAGCAGGCAAGAAAATCGAGTCCACGTCAACCGACTTGGCTGCAGCGAGATACCCTGACACATTCTTGAGGCTTTCGGCTGTAACATCTGCCTGGCTCACAACATAGTCCAATGTGTCTGATGTTATGCCGATGAACTTCCCTTGTCCAGTATAAAGAACAACACATCCAGCACTGTGAATTCCCCCCCACAAACAACAATTAGTTAACCAATCCGCATAAAGAGTAGTACAACAACCATATGGGATAAAGAAAGTGTGAAGGAGAGTGTCATGTTACATTGCTGCAATGGTGAAAAGGATGAGGAAGATGAGGGAGATGGCGTAGCAAGTCCGAGAGTAGCCATAAGGCTCTCTAGGGCAACAGCAATAGCATAGACAGGTAAAGGCTAGAACTATCCCAAAGACTGCAAACCAAACTCCAGCTACGAGAAAGAATGGTGCTGCTGTAGCACTCACAGACTGCAATTCAGAAGGAAAAATTCAATTACTTGTTCAAGCAACAATAGGCCAGAGTTTGGTTACAGACTGCTAATGACGATGTGTAAATCGGAATTGAATAGAACTGCCATGACATAGAACCAGCGGCATTAGTCAATCAAAATCAGCTAATTTCGTAAACCAAAAGATGGATTTAGGACAGAATTGAAAACCCAGCTGAGAAAAACCATTGAAACAGGTGATGGAAGTCCACAGATCTTTTTTTTTTGTTTTTAACTCACAGTCCAGTAGTGTTGATTGCTGATGTTGAATCCACCAGTGTAGATTTTCAAGTTATCCGAAGGGTCTTTCCGGCGAGTCCTCTCTCCGGCCAACACCAGAGTCGTCGAATTCCCATCACCGGCCTCCGTCGAGTTGCCGTCGGCGAGATGGCGTCTTATGCCGAATGGCGCCACTAAGCCATGTCCAGCTCTCGAAAAATCTAGAAAAAAGGAAACCCCATCAGAGGAAAAACACACATTATTTATCAAAAAAGGAAAAAGATTCCAGAAACCCATAAAGAATAGGAACGGAGAAAGGAACATTTTTTTTCTGTTTACCAGGAAATCGAGGAGCTCGGAAATGAAACGTCGCAGTTTCAGCTCCGGGAGCTGCGGAGGAGGAGACGAAAAGAACGGAAATGGAAACGGAGAGGAATAGAAGAAGCAACAATGGCGGGTTTCTTCGCTTTGACGACATTGCTTCAAATTTGTTCTTATTGTTCTTCTTCTTTTGCTCCTGCTTCTTCTTGCTCTGAAGCTATGGTGATGGGTTTTTTTTTTTTTGTTCCTTTTTTGGTCGTGGTGCCTCTCTGGTTTTCTGTTGTGCGAGTGAGAGAGAAGAAATAAGGAGGAAGAGAGCGCGTAAGAGAAAAAGGGCAAAATGGTACTGTCGTTTGGAGAAAATCAAAAAATTCTTTTGTATTTTCCCCCAGTTTGGCAATTTCTTTTGTAAGAAAGAAAACAAAGAGACTTCAACTTTAAGGTTAAAACTTCAAATTTTGGACCCATTTTTTTTTTCAAGTTTTAAATGTTAAAAATATACTTGTCCTAACTTATTGGTATCATGATACTGTCATAATCTTTATCATGATAATATCTCAATTTTAAGATAATAGTCTCAACTTTCGTGAATTTAAATGTTCACTATTGAGTATTTGGATATGTACCATTCATATCATTTGCTCTCGAATTATGACATTAAATAAACCAAAATATCAGTGAAATTAACAAAATTTGATTGTTCCACAACTGGATTTAGACCAGTTGTTATAAAACTCGAGAAGCCACAACATTACTCAACTAGTCGAGAAACACTCAAATCTAACCATAAATGAAATTTTTCATAGTTTATAATTAGTTTTTTTTTTCATTTTCTTGTTGTACGATTTTAAAAATTTCTTTAATATTTTGTTACAAAAAAGAAAATTCCAGTTTAATTTAGGAAAGTAAAAACTGACACAAGAAAGGGAGGCAATTAGCAAGCCAGGCATAGACCATTCACCATTAGCAAGTTAGTAAAAAAGGATTAGATGAGTGAAAATAACAAAGTCGGTTGAATCAGATATTTTATTTCAATCTTAGAAAGAAAAAGAAAACAGAGTAATATTGACCTCTCATCTACCATTTGGCAACACTTAAAAGGCTATCAACAACATTGCTTACAGTTAATCAATCCCTTTTGTTTGCTTATAAAAAATCAAAGCCTTTGGAAATCTTGACACAAAACTTATGGCTGACATCTGGTCACATTCTTTTTGAATAATTTCCTTTCTATCAATGGGCTTATATCAAGTATGGTTCTGAAAATATAATTTATCCCACATCATATCATCATATTTTGCTCTCCCACTAAACCCTAAATTAGGTCTCAGATCCATCATTTCACAGATCAACTAATCACTCCTTCATCATTTCTTTTTCTTCCTCTTCTCCATGGTCAAGTCTTGGTATAGTTCATACAAACATAATCATGCCACCGATTTGATGGTAGTATAATGCTCGATACACGATTATACTTTTATCGAATAACTCTAGCCTGAAGCTTTCCTCAAACCTAACAATACATAGTGTAGTAGGATAAGGCCGCTTCCTCCATATAAGGCTCCTAATTTAAGCCATTTTTAAGTGAAGGAGCTCTTTCGTCATCCTACATAAAATTTACTCAAGATTTGTGTCCCTTGTAGTACGAATCAAGGATTAATCCCACCTCCGATAAATTTTGCTCAATCTTGAAGAAATCGAACAAACGAAAGCTCGAATCGAACTGTATCGAAACTAAATGAATGAATATACATTTTTTTCCATATTAAATGTTCATACATATGAAAGGAATAATAAACAAATTCCTTAGAAATGTATCAAAAGGACAGGTAGGTTAGTCGACAGAGATATGCCGCGTCACCAGCTGCTCTGATGACTAAACAACGTAATCAAATAATTAATCCTCCCCAAGAAAGCTGACATTAATCCAGTATTATTCTAACATTAATCCTCCTTATTAGATTTTATCTCTCTAACTCACTTCCCCCAAAGAGTAACGTGCTGGCCAGGGAGGTTTAGCCGTTGCGCAGCTGCATATATATACATTAATTTTTCCGATAATTTTTCCCAATTCTCATAATCTGAACCTACAGCTCTTTAATAATTCTCGTGATTTGGTTGAGACTAATTAATAATGGCGGTACGTGTTACGAATGTGGCCCAATTGTCGGCTGGACAAAGAATACCGTGTATGACTTTTGGTATGGTGATGGTTCAGCCCAAATCGGATGATATGTCACTACGAGTAGTTTCAACGTTCAATATACGAGACAGTACATACGTACTGTATTTTTACGACGATATCAAGCACTAGTATACACCGTCGTGGCGACTCATCTCAACACGCTGCTAGCCGGATCGAGTAGTGTGTACGGGGGAGTTGTGAGATGCTTGCTTGTTAGGGTTTTTGTTTGTCTTTTTTTTTTTTTTAGGGTAAAGTTAGACATATGTGTATGTATCGACGGCAATGTTGTGGTCATGTTTCATCATATCACCAGCAGATTAATTTGCTTTATCGGAAATGTAAGTCACAAGTGATTGACTAAAAGGTGTAAGTGTAACTTATGTTTGTTCCCTTTGATGATGGGTACTTTTCAACTTCCTTTTTCATGTGGTGGTGCCCAACACCTGCTATTTTCATGTTCTTGAATTCAATCATTTATTCCAAGTTTCCTCAATCATTTATTCCTAGCAAGTCAAGATTAATCAGTATAAGTTTCGTGGAATATTTTATTGCATGTAAATATTTTTAAACGGTTAACAACAGTGCATCCAACCTAATGTCGAACTACTGATATGAAAAGACTTGTTTTCTCACTAAACTGAATAGTCCTATCAGAACGCCTCCGAATTCAGAAATTAAGGGTCAACACAAAACCAGACAAACATATGAGTGTCATCGCGATTATCACCTCACTAACTAGGATCACATATGATTATCCGCCTCGCAAGTCGCGATTGATTAGCCGGTTGAATATTTTCTGAGAATAATATGATCATTTTCCCAGGTGGCTAATTAGCTAAGGCAGGCCTAGGTGATTCGTTTTTTTTTTTTCTTCCTTCTTTTCCTCGCATGAATACAATAATTCCCCATGGAATTAATCGAAACCCTCCACTTAATTAATTATTAGCGTTATGCCATGTATACGCTTGTTGTGATTACTGGCTGATCTTAACTTATTTCCCTTTTGACAATATTTTTGGAATACATAAGCTTAGGTACATTGTAACCTACTACTTACTTAGTACAGATAATAATATTGAATTAGTGATTTTCTTTTAAATCACGAATTAGTGATATTTAAGTAGATGGAAGAAGAAGTCTTTCTAATAATTTCTTCTTCTAGAGAATCTTACTGCTGTCGGCAGTTTTTATTTATTTATTTTGGTATATGATGCGTTGTCCTCCCAATATATTTAGTCATAACATTTTTGCATCAGGAGGCTTATTATAGTGTCTTCAACTTTAAGGCTACGTATTCATTCAAAAACAAACTAGCTTTCAAGGATACTTGTAATCACACAAATGATTACTAATTTACTACAACAATAATCCACACATGTAAAAAGGAGAAAGAAAATAAGACTCTCGCGACGAATCATCGAAATTCAAACACAAATCACATTATTGTTTGTTTACAAGCTTGTTCGGGTGGGATTTTCTTTCCATTATTTGACGATTTTGTTTGCAAATAAGCATACCCGACGATTGTGAAGCCACAAAATCTGAAAATGGTGGTAACATTCTTCAATTCTGTGTGTGCGCACGCACACACACATATACATAGCATCACATGGTTATTTGTGTGGCTAGTTTGTTGTATTCCTTATATAGATAGGCACGATCCTTCTTAATTAACTAGGTAATGGATGAAAGAACTGAAATGACATTATAACGATAACTACAGGATACTTCTTGACCTAACAAGCGACGTTGTGTCGCTTGAAAATCATGCGACTGCCAATAGATGACTATGAGGTCAAACTTGGTAGTTATATGGGATGGATTACTGATAATATACCTCATCGAGATGGAAAGTACAAGTCATGTACTCCGCACCTCGAAAAAGCAAGTAGTGTACTCTATCAATGAAGAGGGTCCTTTTTTCAGGAAAGAAATTTCGAGGTCAATACGAGAAGGAACGTAAGAAGGAGAAATGACCGATTAGTTTTGACATGGTATAAGATTTTAACGAGATCAATCTTTCTTCGTTAATTTAATGCAACTACAATCTCTTGGAGGTGTTCTCTTTGATGCTTCATCACTAAGGAATGCATATTATTTGAACAAACTAAAACAAAAACACTATAACTAATAAAGGAAACTAAGTAGTCCAAAGAGAATATATTCAATCCTTTTGTTCAGATTAATTGATCTCCTTTAGAGCCTTTTTCAGGATATGGAATCGATATTATTGGTGTGTGATGTTAACTAAAGCTTCAAATTCCACAACACTAATGGAGTTCCAACCTTTATTTTGAAGGGTTGTTCTTGAGTGATAATGGATCTGGATGGGCCCAGTTTTGATAATGGTGGATTTGCTTCCTGTCTAATCCATAAATTAGTGAATGATTAATGGGTCAAGAAACTTTTCATTTTAGACCTTTACAATCTTCACGTTTGGGTTAATTATCTGTTTTTATGTTCAAGATATCAATCATGAAATTGATCTTTGTGTAGCATGTCCAACTACAAGTCCACAAAGTCCATACTCCCGCAGTGTTGGTTTAGGCCCAATACGATGATGAACCAGTTTGTGCTAGAGCTCATTAATGGGGGCCCACTTGAAAACCAAGGAACTTCTTGGCCCAATATAAAGACCAAACACCCTATCTATCTTAAAGATCGAGCTTGAGCACCTGGATCTTCACACAAACTAGAAGCCCTATATTTCAAGGCCCATCGTTTCTTGCAATCTACTACCACTGGGCCTGTTTCATCGCCCATTTATGTCCAACAACTAGGGGTGGGCAACGGGACGGGACGGGATACCCGTCCCGTTTTAAACGGGTACCCAGTCCCATTTGCAGACCAAAGTGCATCCCATATCCCAAACCCATATGGGAAACGGGTACCCATTACCCGTGCGGGACGGATAACGGGTACCCATATTACCCATAAAATACCCAAACTTTTAATTGCAGTCTAAATCGTATAATTAAACAGAAAGTCCTTCAATTCAATTCACCTTGCTGCTGCTGCTGGTGGCCGCCGGGTAAGAAGGAAGCCTGCTGCTGCAAGTGCTCCGCTGCTGGTCAGCCTCGCTGAGTGGAATGGAGACTGGAGGCGGCGGCTGCGCTGCCTGCGCAGAAGGAAGCCTGCTGCTGCAAGACGACTCCTCCGCTCCGTCCTCCCAGAACTGAGAAGCTCCAGCCTCTAGAGAA